TCGAAGTAATAATATAGTTGTAAACGTCCAGTTTTCGAACAATTAATAAACGCGTACTTAGATAACGCACATTAACTATTTTCCCACGTTTCAGTTTGACTAGTCGGTCTTGTGAAAAAAAAAATCAAACGCACTGTACCTGTATAATACAAGTCTTGTACGACTGATAACCCATGTAACTAATCGCACATTTTCATATCTCATCGGATCCGAATTAGACGTACGATTAAAAAAAAAATTAACTATATTGCAAACACCTATATACTCATAACAAAACATTCTGAAACGAGCAACCCATTACACAATAGCATTTAACATTCGTCACGGTTTTCACAGTGTATTGCTATCTAATGGTCTTCCAACATAATATCAGGACGGCGTCGAAAATGTATATATACGTATGATTCTAAAATCCTTATCATTGTACGATTCATCGTCACTAGTTACCACCGCTAAGACATCGACTTCAGCCAAGGTAAAAATGTTTTAATTGGAAATGGCAAAAGCGTTTAATAATTCTACTGTAACTTTTTACGTCTTGATACACGCTCAAGCGAATACTACAGTAAACAAACCCGTACGGTGCCGCACGTGAAAACGAATAAATTAGGTACATTAATGATTCCACGTCAGCCATCGGAGACCGTCTAAAAGGCTAAGAGTAATTTTGAGCTTCAAATGTGGGTGTAATAATACGATTAAAACTGCACAAACTGAATTATTGGTATATAATAGAAGGCTCAGCTTGTTTGCCGTTGGAACGATACGTTTTTAACGTCTTGATTGTTTTCTCCGCTAAATTCTTACGGTTATTATAAAGTTAAAACGTAAAACACAAAATACAATTTTGGAAAATAAGATTTGCATAATCTACCGTATTAGTCGTTTAAATTTTTGCGATACCCGTATTTAAGCGCATGTATTATGTATGCAATGTTTGTCAGTAGTCACCCGTTTCTCATCATCAAGTTACGCTTCTGAGACTTTGTGTTCAACGCAATTTGCAAGCACGTAGAATCATTTTTTTTAATGAATCACGCACTAAATAAATACATTTTTGTTAAGTGTGACATACATATTAAGTTAAATATCTTTTATCTTTCGACGCTAAAGTAAATTATATTCACCTTATGCGAGCAAACACTATAAACAACGGGCGTACATTAAACACGAATGTCATACGATTTTGTTAATTAAACATTGTTGTTAATTCGATGTTATGACCTTCAATAAACTATTATTTTTCGCTAACATATGCACGTGAACATAAAATGTAATATGCACGTTGATAGTTTTTATTTGAGTAGTTCAGATTTTTTTTTTTAAGTGAGTACTTGTTAAATTTAAAAGACTCTTATACGATCTCGTATAGGTCGACTGAAAATTTAACTTTTCTTTCTTTTCAAATGAAGAAGAAGAAAATTACTAATTTGTTATTAAATAGTAAAATGTTGCATTGATTAGTTTGTTAACAATTGTTTACCTTTGAGAACGTTTTATTTGATCTCGGACCACAATAAATACAACACGTATTTAAATATATCATATATATATATATATATATATATATAAACACAATTGTTCGTTTTATTTATAATGAGCTTGAAGAAGAAAGTGTTTCCTTATTTTATTTTTTCTTCGTAATCATTCAATTACTAAGTATTTAGAAGCGTATTATATCACTGCGTGTAACAATTTTTTTTAGTAAAATCTTAAGTCTTAACTGTGGGTTTAAGAATATAAATTGTTTTTTCCCACAACATTTATAACAATTTCCTTGTTTTAGAAAATATGATGTACGATTTTTTGTTCTGGGTTTCGTATCCAAATGTCTTAAATAATTTAATATGTTCGAACTATTCCGTTAATGTGCAAAGTAATCGTAAGAGTTAAATATTGTTAGCATAATTAATTTATAATCAAAACAAAAACAATGAAAAAACAAATTATTATTTTAGTACCAATTAATATAAAATTATCATACAGACACAAGGAATAATGGAAACAAAAACTTACATTTTTAAATCTTACCAACATGTTTGTGAATGTAAAATTGTATTTTTTTTCCTTTTTTTTTAATTTAAAGTAGGTATAAACCTAAATACGGCTGTTCGGAATCGACACTAGACACTAAGTTTTTATTATATAATACATTCTACATAATGTATATTTTAGAATATACAGTTAAAATTAATAATATATTAATATACATAATATATTTATACAATCATAAAATTCATTTTAATTAATTTTCTGTTTGATCATCATTCAATGGCATACCAACTAATGATATCAATAATTATTTAATAATCTAAGAATTTAATTAGTTATCTATTTCTAATGAATTGAATTCCAAATTTGTTTTTATATTTTTTTTTATGATATTCTACTTAAATTAAATTTAAAATTTCGATATATTATAACATGTATAAATATTAAAATTATATACTTTCATATTTTTATATAAATGTTCATAGACCTTTGTATTTTTTATTTGATTTTTCAATGAATGTGTAGGGGGAATTTTAAAAATATTTTTCGTCAGATTGTATAATATGCCATTGATTCCATATAATAAATATAATCCTTCAATTCAATATTACGTGCAATATGCATTTTTTTTCTACAACCGTACTATAAAATATGTAAATTTCAGATTTTAATTCGTCTAATAACCGAAAAAAAATCAAATATCTTTAATTGTCTTTTTGTGCAAAACCAAACTGAAATATCATTGATATATTTAAAAAAAATTTCGAACACACTTTTCCAAACACTAATAGACTTAACAAACCATCAAAAACTTTATAAATACAACGATAGAATAGATGAATAATATTTTTAAAATAAGTCTTTTCTCGCATTTTACTGTTTTTTCCACTCTAATGTTGTCGAACCAATTTTATAGAACTATTTTACTCAAAAAAGTTCATTTTAACTATTTAAAATTATTCCTCCCTAGTTAATGTCGAAAATAATTCAGTTTTAAGTCGATGGTGTAAAACTTAACGGCCAAGTAGCTTAAACTATGTGTAGATATACCACGTATGAATTATAAGAAACCGTCGACAATAAATTATTAAATGCTGTTATAATGCGTTACTCTGTAAAAAACGTATAATACGTTCTAGTTGTTAATAGACAAATCTATGTCATAATGGATGATAAAACGACAGTTTTTTGTTTAAATTATTTTGTTCTAAGTTAAAAAAAAGGGAAACACACAAAAATGTTCTAATCGATGGTACGATTTATATTTTTCAATTACATTTTATACCTTCATTTTAACATCATCATCATGTTAATCACATAAAAGCACGATATTATTGATTGGTAGAACGGTAGAAAGTTTAGCAGATGACATTTCCATTAGTAAACGTTTTCGACGATAAGATTTCTATTTGCTTGGTAAATATAATTTTTCTACGATGGTATTCATTCACGGATTTAATCGCATTCGTTCACCGCAACAACTGCATGTCTCGTTAACTGCACACTAAAATCCAAGTAAAACGAATCCAGCAATTCGTCACGTTAATAACAAGATTCATCCGAAACCGAAATCTCAAACAAGTTTATTATCGTTAATCGGTCATTGATTTGCTTCTTTTGCATACGGAAAATATTCGCGTTTGTATAAAATATATCATATTAATACGATTTCGTAGTTAAGATTCCTCACTGCTAACGCGCAATCACGGCCCATTACGATATGAATACAGACTCAAAAAACAAATTAATAATGTTTGACAAAATAATATACGGTTGTAAATTGTTCTCCGATTATCTTAATTATTCGGTATAAAATGTTAATAAATTCAAAAAATGTCACCCCCTTTACCAACCAAAAAAAACTAATTTCCTATTTTTACATTTTATTTGATGATGATAGAAATCTCTGATGACAATTAGAAACAAAGACACAAAAAAAAAAAATAAATATATATCACACCATGGTAACACCAATACATTCCTCGTTTCATGCATAATCTTAAATCAAAAACAATTTTATAGATTTGTTTTTAAATTCCACGGCACGAATGACTGACAGTATATGGCAATAAGCGTCTGCCAAAAACAAATTCGACGACGATACTGAGCACAAATTTAACTTATCGATCGTGTAACAACATAAGTTTTCCACAATAATACAATAAATCTGCATTGATAATTGTCAATATACGTCGTGCAACGGTCTAAGACGTTTCCAATTACTTGTCTAAATGTTCTCAACCGAGTCAATGGCACCGATTAATTATAATTACAAATCGAACTAGACGTTTTCATTTACGTGTGTTACAAACTCTATCTTTAGCTAGGCCTCGGGGAGTTCTAAGTGGCCCGGCTTTTTCGAAATTTCGATTCGCATCCACCTGATACATTTGCGTACGGTGCCTCTGATTGGAGATCAAGTCGTCGGGGGAACGTGGATGTCGGTACGCCTGCTGTCTACTGAACAAACATCGATCGCATCTAACCGTAACCTGCGTGCACCAACCCCTTCATCGACATTTACGGAAACGCCACGTGGGAACGTTATAAAAGTAAAACGGTCTTAACGAACGAGTAATTTAGTATTGTTCTCGACATGTACTCCGCCAAGTGTAATTCAAGATGGTGACGGGCAGTTCCACGTTGTTTTTTATTCCGCCACTTCCTAAATATAACACATTGTTATCGCACGGCGGCAAGATATAAATATAACACAAGTGGCCTCCGTATATAACAAAAGTACCATAAAAAATAAAACAATCCTTCGCGACGTGCACGCGGGGATAACAATAAATCATATTCGGCCGGGAAAAACTTACTGGTCGCAACACGTTTTCTGCGCCGTCGTCGCCGGTCGCATTGTCCAAAATATTTTGTAAAATATTTGCGCGAAGCTACCGGAACCCGGAAAACGTCGTCACCGGTCTCGGTGGAAGAACCGACGACGACGTGTCACGACTACTTATAAATACTGCGTGCGCGCGTGCTTGTTACGTTACGGTAATTACGTGTAGATGGCCGTCAACAGGGCGGCCACGGACTCGGGGCCTGCGTCCGCGTCCATGGCGAAGCGGGCCATCACGTGCAGCATATCGTGGTGCTTGCCCAGCGGACACACAGACCCGTTGACGCGAACCACGCGGTCGTGGTAGGCCACGGCCCCGGCCACGGCGGCTTCGCACGCTCGCCGCCGGTCGCGGCCGCACCACGGGCCGCTCAGCCCATCCACCACGGTGGCCACGTACTCGAGGTGCATGGACCGCTTGTACGCGGGTATCAGCTCGTCGCGTTCCAGCCTGGCCACTATCTGCGCGTAGAACTCGTCCAGCACCGCCTCCATCCTGCGCGTGGGCACACGGTTAGTCGACTCGCCAACCGATATCGCATCGACCGGCGGTCACGACACGCGCAGGAAGCCGTACGCGCGTGCATACCGCATCGGCGACGGACGGCACTCGCCGCAATCGTTAGAGCGCGGTAACGTACGACACGGAAACCCATCCGTCGCACACACCCACGACACGCTCACCCTTGATCGACTATCACACCCCCTCACCGCGTTCCGTTAGCGTTCGCACGGATAGGGTTTCTTAAGCCGATCGGCGCGGGGTTTAGGAGCGACGTAATCTCGTATCACAGCGATGGCCGTGAAACGTTAAAAGGATCGCGCACCCGCCGCCACTGCGTAGTTTCCTGTGTATAACGGACGTGAAAAGTGGCAGATCCCCGCGCGTTCAGCAACAGACGACCAACGTTATTGTTGGTCTTCTTGTGCGTTATCTAAATTTGTAATTTAAAACAGTTATGTTTAACATATTCGTAAGACTCACTTGAAGTCGGACAAACGCAATAGAAATGGATGTGACATTCTTTTGGAATTGTTTGTTTATGTTCATGGTAATTTAGAAGGAATAACATAAGATCTTACGGATACGGTTTTACGTAAGAAACTTGAGAAACATCGGAACACAAAACGGCATCGTTATCGATAGTCATTTTGGGGTTGTGTGGTGGTGGAAACAGCGCACGCGCGCTCGCGATAAACGCGTTTCCGGTTACGAACGGGTGCGCCACCCGATATACTGCGGTTCGTGAACAAGATGGTACGAGGAAACGGGCATGCGGTGAAATACACCTTATGATAGCCTTAGAAGATCGACAAGGTATTCGGGCCTAATGATGACTAATATGTCGATATCTTTATTCGACTGGCAGCAACGATGAATAAATAGAAAAAAATGGTAGCAATCGTTCTGAGTGACATTGTCGTCTTTAACAAATAAAATATATTGGTTTTAAAAATAATTAGAAGTTATTTAAATATCACGTATTTTAGATTTATTTTTTGTTTGGAATTATAATAAATGCTCGATATTCTCTTTTTTTTTATCTATAAATAATATTATGGCCACGTGTAAATCCATACCGGGATCAAACAACGTACATGTAAGTTTTTTTTAGACGGTTCGAATTGAAAACATAAATACGAAACAACTAACAATTATCCGATTGCGCGAACGCGCCACGATATCGTGATATATTTTTAGGGTTGATGCGGATGGTTACCAAAAGTATAATGGTCAAACAAAATACTTGTTTAAATTCTTCAAATACCTTACATTGCCTATACAGATATACTGATAGCAGTATTAAAAAAAATATAATCAATTAAGTTGAAAAAGAAAAAAAAAAAGAAATTTCAGTATATTTTATACAGACAAATCATTTTTTTTTTTTCATAAGTAAAAAGTTTTGTTTTTTACCTCAATTTTAATACCTGCGTATTATCAGAATATAGACTTCTCACTGCATCATCTATAGTCACTGTGCTATTATATTTTAAATTAATAAGTAATATTTCTAAATAGAAAAGTAGGTATTTTGAAATTAGTTCAAAATTTGATTATAAATAAAAAATATGCTTTACGAAATCATTGACCATCGGATAAATCCTATTTTATTGAACCCGTTTAAAAAACAATATCAATTCTTAGTTGTCTAGAAAAATTAATACCATAGTAATAATGATATTGATAACAAAAAATATATAGTACGTAAAGCCAGTAAACCAGTTTCTCTTTCCGAAAGAATTCGACGAAAATAAATAATTAAAATTAAGTTGTATAATTATTTATTTTATCGTATTTAAAGTGTTGTCATGAAATGTAATATATTTTATTTTCTCAAAGTTAAAAACCGAGGAGAAAGCATTAAACGGAAATAAAAAAATCTCGTATGACTCACGGATGACATCAATGACGACTTCGAGCACTTCGAGCACTTCGAGAGTGAAAGATACAAAGCGAGTAGGAGAAAAATAATATAGTTTTACTGTATGTTATTTCCATATGCATTAGGTGTATTGTTTTGTGTTTATATCAAACAGTGATGATACAGTAATAATCGGTTTTTAGCAGATTTATAAAAACCACGCAATAATAATACATTATTCGGGCAGATGTAAAACAATATAAAATGTCACGTACCTAACCTTAATACATACAATTTCGTAACGGAATCAAAATTGTTAGTTTTTAGACAATTATCTTTTTATTTTAACCGAATAATTTAAATAAAGTACCCAATGAAATGTGTTTCTATAGTAAAATATTATATTATACATGTACCTACTCTATCAAGACTATACAATAAACTGTCCAGTGGTATTGAACTCAAAAAAGTTTCAATAGCAAAAAAGACGCGTGTCTCGTTACAATAGTGTTTTTTTTTTTTCTATTTAAAAACGAAAAATATGAAAACTCATTTTTTTCCTACCCACAATAATAATGGTCGAAAAATATACGTTAAACAATAGTAAAAAATCAACGCCACACGAAATGTTGTTGTGATAATTGTAGTGCGTACCGCTAATAATCGATGATGTTTTTTTCGATTCTTTTGCAGTGTGCTGAATCAGAGCAACAACTGGGACCCGCAGTTCGAGTTGACCTACAGAGGACTGGTGCCAATGAAGGGAAAACCGGAACCCATGAAAGTTTGGATTTTGACCAGGAAGCCGATCTAGACGCGGTATTACGCGAAACGCGGCGTGGAACACGATATCGTATATTACATCGAATAGTAAATTTTCTTCTAATCCCCCCGTCCCGTTTGGCTGTCGTAGTTTACGTTTAACATAATTATTATCGGAGAACGCAAAAACCGAACAAGTAAAAATAATAATGATTATACACAATGTCATGATAAAATATAAAGACGTGTTTTTGAAAACATCAACCGTGTTCGTTATTTTTTCGAAACGCACCAGTTTCGTTTCGTTTTCAACGGTTTTAGCGCCATCCCGCACGGTCGTCGTAAACGACGTCTTGAACGCGTGTGCTGTTGCAGTACGGTTAACGCGTGCACGCGAACTGTTCGGGGTAGGGCGTGCGCGCGCGAGAGATTCTTCTCGTCGAAAGAGGATTGTGCCCGTGGAAAAGATGTGGGAAGAAAAAAAAAATAAGAAAAAAAGTAGCCCAAGCCGAGATACCTCCGCGGCCGCGTCTACCGCGCCGGTCTGGTGGGGCGCGTACAAACTGGTTTGCGCGTTCGCCGTCCATCCACGTCGAACTGGTTCCCGCAGTCTCGTTCTTGGAAGATCGCGACGCGCTCGTGCACTCCGTCGCACACACCGGTATTTGTTTATTTTTAATTTTTTTTTTTTTTTACCGAAAACTACATCGCACGTAATATTATTTCGTTCGAAGTTCGCTACTCGGTGGTTTTCGTTTGTTTTTTGTCGTTCATATCGTGATTCGTAATATTCCGTACGATCTAATTATAATTCCGCGAACAATCCGCCGTCGTTCCGTTGCAATCAAAACCATCGATCTCGGATCATTTTTTTTTTTTTTTTCTACGTGTGTCCCGTTGGATATATTATCAACTGACTCGGACGAAAGAGGTAAATACCATTTGAAACGCTACGGTCGAAAAATCGTTGGCGAACACGTGCAATGAAATCGAGTTGAATGTTAACGTTCTCGATTTCTACGCAAGTCGGAAATTCTTGGGTCTTAAAACGTTAGGTCGGTGTTCAGAGGGTTTTCGAGAGGAGAAAGAAAATATTTCTAAAAAAATGAAATAAACGGCGCGGCCCGCGGGGCACTGTGCCTACCTACCACAAACCTAACCGCGCGTGTACGGTCCCTTTTCAATCTTTCCGTCCGTTTTAAAACTCGTGATTAATGTTTCTCCGTGTAATTACACGTCATTTGACGATCCCGCGCTGAACAACGAACCATACAGACGGATCGGATGCCGTCGACAGTGTTATTTGTTTTACGAGAGGGGAAAAATTGAAAAAAAATCTTAAGGCCACATCATTCGTTCGGAGCAATCAACATAATAATAACAAGGTGTAATTTCGTTTTCTTTTTAGAATATTATCCAGCTTGTTGAAAGAAAATATTATAAATATATGTTTCGTACTGATGATTTACACTAAAAAGGGAGGGGTGTGTTAAAAAACGAAATAACGCTGTTACATTTGTAAAAAAAAAAAAAAAAAACAATATACGTGGATAATATAAAACTCGGTCTAATATACAGACACGCGCGCGCGCGGCCGCAGTCAGTTACAATGTAATGATAATTATAGTTTGAATCGGACATAACGGTAATAACGGCTCAGAATAGTCCAGAAAACCGTATGTAGTAAAATCATTTCTTAAAGCGCGCCTCGTGACGTTCCGTTTTCAACGTTGTTCAACTCTCCATCGTTACATGTCCGTCTACATGTTATTATAGCGTCGAATAAAATATTTAAAATTCATAGAGAATTATACATTTTACGATAACATATTTTTTCCGACCACGTGTTCCGGTACGATTACAAAAAGTATACGGACTGGTCCGTCGGATGCTCGGCGACAAGACGTATTTTACCGGAGTTCAAAGTTCGCGATCCGTTTAAACGGGGAAAAACTTTGGAGTGATGCATAACGAGTGGGTGATAATTCTAAACATTGATCAAACCACGTCTATGTAGAGGTCAGTATCCATAAGGGATTGGAGAAAATGATGGGGCCCGGGAGACTCATTGTGTTTTATATTTTTAGGTTTATGTAGAAAAAGTGTAGGTCTTAAGAAAGGGTTTAAAAAGCCAAGACCGCTGTTAACTCTATAAAATAACACTAAGTACAACCTACTTGGATAAAAGTTAATAAAAACATCATAATCATACAAGTGTGTAACAGTATAAACACATTAAAATCTTTTATACTCGTATTAATACATAAATATAATAAAAATAATTTAAATAGCTCTTTCAACATACGAGTATATGTTAATTTACCATGGATACCAATTTAAATCGCATCCTACACGAATCTTAAACATAAAAGACGCTTTTTATATGGTGTTAGAAACAAGGATAATTATCCATATCTACTTAGTTCCTGGCAAAACATTTCCAAGTGTTGACAATTTTAAAATTATAAAAAATATTAAAAGCTATAGTTTTTTTTAATCTTATTTTTTTATAAATCTATATAATTAAATCATTTAATGATTACGTTTTAATTTATGTAGCGGGATATTTAAATATTAAAAATTTATGAAATGTATGAACCTATGAAAGTATAAAAAAAATCAAACAAACCGTATTCATTATTATTTCTTAAATACAGTTACTATTGGTATGTATTACGACGCAAAAACACTCACCGGATAGATTATATTATACCGGGTATTGAGAATGTTAATATCTTCGCTTCTCCCTATTTGTTGAAGTAACTCCACTGATACAAGCATTAAATTACTTTTGGATATTAACGCTAAGAGATGGACTTTTTCCATAAATGTACTCGTAATATCGAGCATTATTTGTCTGCAGCTACGAGAATAAGCTAAACGTAGTTATATTGTTAGTTATGCAAATACCAATTGTAGTATGATGCAATGTGTACAACAGTTTAACAAGTATTAGTTATAGTTAAATTTTATCATACTAACAATATAAGCACTTTTTTTACGCAAGTAAGTAAAATTTTTAATCAGTTAAATTGATGATAGCAAACTTAATATGCAGTAAATATAACATTATAAATATCATTAACTCGATAGTATTTGAACTACGTAAAACGTCTACTAAAATTAAATTTTAAGTTTGAAAATTTGAGGGTCAATATTGATGTTTACCGTTGGTCTTCTTAGCGGCTCATTTGCCAAATAATATTAGGAATGGAAAGTAAGACGTAAAATGGATAAACAATGAATATTATTAATAGTTCAAAATATTCTATTCTACCGTTTAAAAATCCTACATTAAGATACCGGTTTGTTTTAAAGTCCTGGTCGTAATATAAAGTAGTGCTCTTGATATCCGGATACCCGGGTTTTATGGGTATTACCTGAATTTCGGGTACCCGTTGTGGATTGGGTACCCGTTACGAATCGAGTACTCGTTATGGTTTGTATACTCATTACTAGAGCAGGGATTTTTATTTAAATACATATTTTTTCTAAAACATGATAAATTTCGTTATCTTTTTTTTTGCGTTGCACAGGTAAAGTTATTTAACTATTATAAATAGATATTATTTTATACAACTTTTTACAACAATTTACTATTTACTTTTACATTACAGTAAATTAGTAGCTATAGGAATATAAAAACAGCACAATTAACAAAACATTTTAAACACCTATCAATATAATTATTCAATTATTATAATTTTTGTATAGTTGTATATTTTAAGTTCAAAACGTAACAATGAAACTATGAATATATTACACGTCATCAATAATATCACCATTTTTTTTTTTTTTTTGGCCCTGGGGATGGATTTGAAAGCCTTTTTCCCCCGTATGTACGCCACTGATTGTGATTACTTATTATTATCTGCGTAACTATACACATAAAAGGTAACGAATAAGGCCTCTATATCTGTTATCTGCAAGATTTAAATATAAGCTTTATAATAGCTTTTAACATGTTATGCGGCATTAAACTTGAATAAACCAATTATTGAAATATAATATTACTAATAACACTCACATAAAATGCTAAAGATTTTATTTTTAAAAATTAATTTTGTTAATTTAAAAGAGGAAATATTTTAATATTTTTTATTCGAATAATTGTATATTGTATAATTTAATACCGATTACCTCTTAGCAATTAAAATTTAGCTAAACCGTTTACATATATCAAAAACCATCGGGTACCCGAAAATTTTGGGTGATGGGTACCCACTACTCGAAAACGACGTTGACTACCCACAAAATCGGGTACTACCCACATAAAATCAAGAGCACTTATATAAAGTTCTGTATATCGGAGCTCCATACCAAACTAATTTCGTGATGAAAAAAATCTGAAATCGAACAAAATTAATCGCAATTCCATGTAATTATGTGGAACGATCGAGCGCGCACGGCTCTTTGAGCGTACATAATGTACACATGGTGTTGACACTATGCGTGTGTTGAAACGATAGCGAACAACGCACAAGATAATGTTTTGGTACGTTTCGCAAAAGAAATCAAATTCGTTTTCGGGACGGCCTTATTATTAGAATATTATACTACTATGACCACGGATAACTATAGTAATATAATTATATGCTTTTCACGTGTTGTGACATCATTAGCGAATTCGCAATCAAAACAATGGCGTTGGTCGGTTCTCACGAGCGCACAGACAACGCCACTGCAGGGACGGCTTCGCGCGAGATAATAATATTAATAACATTATAATCGATGTCATTATAAATCGTCGGTAGACCACGAATTGGCAAAATAAAAAATACAGCCGTACGCCGTTTAGCTATGAAAAACAAACGTTATGGCGCCGATTATTATTAATTTTTCATCCTGCTCCGTCACAAGCCAAAAACTTTTCGATTGGAAATTTTTCAGTTCGACTTTTATTCTCACATGCGATTTTTTGAGTGAAAAGTTCTGTACAACGCTGTACAATACATGCATCGGTTTTCGATCTGATTTAAATATACGTTTAATTGAAAAACAAGGACAGTGCAAATTCGAACAAAGTAGTTCTCCGAAAGCGCTAAAAATATTTGCAATCATATCGAAAGCAATTTTTTGGTTCGACCATCGGAAGACTGGCCGCGTTCAAGTTCTGATAAGAAGTATGTAGGAAAAACTGTTGCACGGATAAATTATTCTCCGCTGGATTTCAATTCAGTATAATACTCTTCGAGCGAATATTGTAATTGATTTCTACATCGGACGGTCAAAAAAAAAAAAAATTTTAATACACTCAATTGGGCCAAAATTTCCCTGTCCCGGTCACGTCGACATGTGTACACGGTCGTACACGTAGCCCCGAACCTTTCGAGCGCAGACAAATGCATAATAATGAGTACAAGCGTGTAATATTATTTTAACATACTCCGGCGGTAACAATTGCCACCGCTGTGAGCGCGACATCGATCCGCTTTTCTTTTTCAGCACTTGTGTATTATAATATTACACGTGTGCGTGTATCAATTCGTACGATCATTAATAAGTGTCACAGACGTTCGTCGTTTTCTTTTTGTTTATTTATTTTTTTCTAGAACGCGCTGCGGCTGCTTTGCTCCATGACTGCCAGAGCATTTCGAAATAATCGCTCGGTATAATAATAACAATAACGATATAGGTACATGCCGATGTTGTGCGCGCGAGTTTACGATTCGTGAATAATAATAACTCCGGCGACGACGACGACAAAAATAATGATAACAATAATTATGGTGCGGCAAATTTGTTTTTTTTTTCTATTTTTCTATTTTCTAGAATTTTTTTCTTCTTTTTGTTCCTATCGTGCATCACAATGGCCACCAGTCTTTACACGCTCCAATAAGTCGTCCATATTTATCATGCACACGTGCTATGTGTTCAAAATCCATCTGCAGTAAACCCCGATGACTTTTACCTCGTAAACCGAACTCGCGC